CGGCATGGGATTACAGGCTGAGCCATTGAGCCCAGCCTTTTTTTTTTTTTTTTAAATTGTAGAGACAAGGGCTCACCAAGTTGCCTGGGCTGGTCTCGAACCCGTTGGCTCAGGCAATCCATGTGCTTCGGCCTCCCAAAGCGCTGGAATTATAGACTGAGCCACCGAACCCGGCCATTTTTTTTTGGGGGGGGGTTGCAGTCTCTGTTGTCCAGGCTGGAGTTCAGTGGCAGACTCACAGCCACTGCAGCCTTGACCTACTAGGTTCAGGTGAGCCTCCCGCCTCAACCTTTCAAGTAGCTGGAACTACAGGTGTGTGCCACCACACTCAGCCTATATTTTATTTATTATAGAGATGAGGTCTTACCTAGTTGCCCAGGCTGATCTTGAACCCCTGAGCTGAGGCAGTCCTCTCACATTGGCCTCCCAAAGTGCTAGTATTATACGCATGAGCCACCCCACCCAGCTTATTTTTTGTTGGAGTGAGGAGGGCTGGCCAAGTTGCCCAGGCTGGTCTCAAACCCCGTAGCTCAGGCAATCCTCATGCCTGGTCATAGGATAACTTTTAGATCTTTCAGGCTTGCCTTATACTCCTGGCTTCAACCAGCCACAGGCTCCCTTATTGCTGGGACTGCAACATGATAGCAGGTGTGAGTCACCACTTTTCTCCAAGCTCTTCTACAGCTTTTTTTTTTTTTGAGTTGGAGTCTCACTCTGTCACCCATGATGGAGTGCAGTGGCATGCTCATGGCCACCTGCTGGGCTCAGGCAGTCCTTCCACCTCAGCATTCCAAGTAGCTGGAACTACACCCAGCTTATTTTTTGATTTATTGTAGACTTGAGGTCTCACTAAGTTGCCTGGGCTGGTCTTGAACCCCTGAGCTCAAGCACTCCTCTTGCTTTAGCCTCCCAACGTGCTGGGATTATAGGCTTGAGCCACTGTGCCCAGCCTACTTCTAGAGGTTTTATTAAACACGCATGTTTTATGCGTATAAAGCATAATAAACCATGGTCTTTATTTGTCATGAACTTACAAGCTTGTTTGAGAAGCAGGGTTACAGTCTCATTAAAAATTAAATGTCATTGCTGACCATTGCACTCCAGCCTGGGTGACAGAGTGAGACTCCAACTCGAAAAAATAAAATAACATAAATAAAAAGAGGTACTAGCGGCAGAGGTGTTGCAAAAGTGCTAAGGAAGAGTGCCCTGCCGAACACTGAAGCGCAGGTATTGGGGCCTTGAGGCAACTGGTTGAGAAACAAGGTTCAGGTTGACACTTGTCATGGGGCATTTAGTGGAAGACAAACTTTGACATAATCTAGGGCATCATAAAGCTAAGTGCAACCTTTGAAGAAATGAGAGCTTGGCAAAGTAGGATTGACAAAGAAACCTAACATTCCTGGTCTTGTGCCTGAGAGCCAGGAGCTGTGCCTTGCCTGCTGGAGATCTTAGGGGGAGATTTTTTTTTCTGGAGTTGGAGTCTCAATCTGTCGCCCAGACTGGAGTGCAGTGGCCGCTCCCGGCCACTGCAGCCTCGACCCACTGGGCTCCGGCGATCCTTTCGCCTCAGCCTCCCGAGTAGCTGGAATTACAGGCGCGCGCTACCATGCCCGGCTGATTTTTGATTTATTGTAGAGATGAGGTCTTGCCAAGTTGCCCAGGCGGGTCTCAAACCCATGGGCTCAGGCAATCCACTCACCTCAGCCTCCCAAAGCGTGAGATTACAGGCTGAGCCACCAGCCCGGCAGGGAGATTTTATCAAGCCTTAAAACTGTCAGTATTTGTATTTCTGACCTCAAAGAAATATTATGGGTATCAACACCTTTGTTTTGTGAACAAATGTGAGAGAGTAAAGAATGTTTCACCAAGAACAGAGCAGCTTTTTTTTTTTTTTTGATTCAGAGTCTCACTGTTGCCCAGGCTGGAGTGCAGTGGCATGTTAACTGGCCACCACACCCTCAACGTGCTGGATTCAGGCGATCCTTCCCCTTCAGCGTTCTAAGTAGCTGGACGTGTGCATTTGTCTAATTTTTTTCTTTTTTCTTTTTTTTTAATTGTAGAGACAGGTCAGCCAAGTTGCCTAGGCTGTTCTCGAGCCCTGAGCTTAAGCACTTCTCTTGCCTCATCCTCCCAAAGTGCTAGAGCGAAAGTTCAGATCCGAGTTGGATTACATTTAACCTAATAGTTGGAATTAGGCTAATTATATACTATATAGTGTTCTTATGCTTTGTTATGGACTGCAGCTGTGGGACATGTAGGATCTTGATATTTATAACTTTCCAAGAAGTTGTTATAGATTTTTTTCTTTTCATGTTATCTACTGTCACCTAGAAGTTTCATTTGCCAGGTAATCTCTGTTTGAATATAACTTTTTTTTGGAGGGGGGAGAGTTGGGGTCTCACTCTTGTTGCCCAGGCTGGAGTGCAGTATCATGCTCACAGTCACCACAGCCTTGACCTGTTGGACTTAGGCCATCCTTCCGCCTCAGCCTTCCAAGTAGCTGGAACTACAGACACATGCCACCATACCTGGATATTTTTGGTGATTTATTGTAGAGAAGATGTCTCACTAAGTTGCCCAGGCTGGTCTTGAACCCCCAGGCTCAGGCAATCCTCCTGCCTCCCAAAGTGCTGGGATTACAGACCGAGCCTTTGGCCTTTTTTGGTTGTTGTGTTGAGGTGGAGTCTCTGTTGCCCAGGCTGGAGTACAGTGGCACCAGTCACTGCAGCCTCGACTTGCTGGGCTCAGGTGATCCTTCCGCCTCAGCCTATTTTGTACATCCTTCAAGGCTTCCTAGGTAAGTGTGAGCCTATTTTCTTTTTTTTTTGAGTTGGAGTCTCACTTTTGTCATCCAGGCTGGAGTGCAGTGGCCACCGTAGCCTCGACTTGCTGCTAGGTTTAGGCGATCCTTTTGCTTCAACCTTCCAAGTAACTGTAACTACAGGTGCATACTACCACTCCTGGTTAATTTTAAATTTTTAAAAAATTTTTTATTTATTTATTTTTTTGAGTTGGAGTCTCACTCTGTCGCCCAGACTGGAGTGCAGTGGCTGTTCCCGACCACCGCATCCTCAACCCACTGGGATCCAGCGATCGTTCCGCCTCAGCCTTCCAAGTAGCAGGAATTACAGGCATGCGCTACCACGCCCGGCTGATATTTTGATTTATTGTAGAGATGCGGTCTCGCCAAGTTGCCCAGGCGGATCTCAAACCCACGGGCTCAGGCAATGCACTCACCTCAGCCTCCTAAAGGCGCAGGATTACAGGCTGAGCCACCGAGCCCGGCTTAATTTTAGATTTATTGTAGAGATGAGGTCTCACAAAGTTGCCCAGGTTGGTCTCGAATCCATGGGCTCAGGCAGTCCTCTCACCTCAGCCTCCTGAAGTGCTGGGACTATAAGCATGAGCCACCGAGCCCAGCGGAACCTTTCTTTTTTCTTTGAGTCATAATCTCTTTCTGTCACTTAGGCTGGAGTGCAGTAGCATGGCCATCACAGCCTCAACCTACTGGGCTAGTCCTTCTGCCTCAAGTCTTCCAAGTAGCTGGAACTACAGGCCTGTGCTGTCATGCCCGGCTAGTTTTTTTTTCCGATTTTGAAAATACAATTTATGAACCAGGCTTAGTAGCTCAGCCTATAATCCCAGCACTTTGGGAGGCCGAGGTGAGTGGATTGCCCAGGCAACTTGACAAGACCTCGTCTCTACAATACATGAAAAAAATTAGCCAGGCACGGTTGCACGCCTGTAGTTCCGGCTACTTGGAAGGCGGAGGCGGAAGGATCGCTGGAGCCCAGCAGGTCGAGGCTGCTGGGCTCGAGACTGCGGTGGCTGGGAGCGGCCACTGCCCTCCAGTCTGGCCGCAAAGTGAGACTCTGACTCAAAAAAATAAAAAATAAATAAAAGTAAGTTTAGCCGGGCATGGTGGTGCTTGCCTGTAGTTCCAGCTACTTGAAAGGCTGAGGCAGAAGGATCACTTGAACCTAGCAGGCCGGGGCTGTGGTAGCCAAGAGCATGCTACTGTACTCCAGCCTGGGCGACAGAGCCAGATTCTGACTCAAAAATAAGTTAAAGAGAGAAAGAGAAGAGAGAAAGAAGGTTCACCTCCCCAAGGTGGTGGAGGGAGCCAAAGCCAGGTGGCATGACCATAGCTCAGAGAGCAGACGACCACACCAGAGCCTAGCAAGGCAATGGCAGTTTTTTTTGTTTTTGTTTTTAATTGTAGAGTTGAGGGCTCGCCAAATTGCCCAGGCTGGTCTCAGTCCTGTGGGCTCAGGCAGTTCTCGCGCCTTGGCCTTCAAAAGTGCTGAGCCACCATGCTCGGCCTATTTTCTATGTATCATTCAATTCTTTGGGCAGGTGGGATGTACTTAGTATCCCCATTGTGGTGGATAGCTGTGTGTTGTGTGACTCTTCAATACAGCAGTGCCCTCTACAAGGCCACAACACTGACACCCAGGGAAGTCACTTTTTCTTGACTCTGTACCAGTTGCATATGCATGCATGTTTTGGGAGTTGTGGTCTGTCAAAAGACCAATAAAGGATCGAACTATTTATTTATTTGAATTGGACTCTCATTCTGTCGCCTAGGCTGGAGTGCGGTGGGATGTTCATGGCCACCACAGCCTTTATATGCCTGGTTGAGGGGATCCTTCCTCCTCAAACTTCCAAGTAACGAACTACAGACGTGCCCCACCATACCCCGCTAATTTTTGATTATTGTAGAGACAGGTCTCACCAAGTTGCCCAGGCTGGTCTCGAATCCAGGGGCTCAGGCAATCCACTCACCTTGCGTGAGTGAGACTCCAGCTCAAAACAAACAAATAAAATATAAATTG